CCCTGCAAGGACTCCGTAAATCTGTAGGTAAATCCACTGGTTAAACCTCCCTGAGCTGCAGCTGCCCACACTGACGTTGCCAGATGATCCCTGTGGTGGAAATGCCATGAAGTGTCTTGCAAGTAACTAAGGTTTTGTTGCAACCATGGCTGAAAGCTTTCAGCCCCCCCCCACTGTCACTGGCAGCTCGAGCATTCCAGTGGAGCTCCCTGATGGGATAAACACATTTAAAAAGTGCACTAAACAGGTATGGTTTTGAATGATTCTTTCAGGCTGCTGCCAGTACAAGTGCTGCACAGCATAGCTGGGAAAGTTGCAGAGGGTAAAAAAAAAAGATGTAGTCATTAAAAAAAGAAAGCATTTGCTGTCTCCAGCACCAGGAGATTTAGCAACAGCCTGGCCACTACACAAGCAGAGGGCTTCTTTGCCGGGGAGCTCTGAGGGTACAAGTGAGGCCAGAGCACAGAAGGGCAATTAGGAACCTTTGTTCCCAGGCTAAACTGACTGCATTTGCTTGTACCATGGCATTCAGGGGAGCTCATGCTGGGATTCATAAGCCACAGGCAATGTGAACTACTCTTCCTCCCCATCCCACAGCACTCCTGCTTGGGAGTTGCCTTTCCTTGGGAGAGTCTCCCTGCTCAAGGGTGAGGGGCTCGGTAAAGGAGCTGCTGCATTCAGCACCTTGCTGGGAGGCTTTTGGGAAGGGAAAATTGCATTGGGTCCTCACAGATCTCTCTGCAGAGGCAGTGGAAGGGTCTGCTGGGGAGTTAGGAGTAGAATTAACCACAAAGTCCAGCCTCCCACAACCTCTTTTCCTGCTCAGACCAACTAATAGTCAAATTTGTCCAGATTTATTTTAACAAAAAGCAAGGGTTGCAGGGAGATGACATTTACAAACAAGTATTTATTGTTGTTTTGCTTTCATTAGGTGTGGGAAAAGCTGGTAAGCTTTTGAACTCGGTGTCCCTATGGCTGGTTTTTGAAAAACTTGCCTGTTTTTTCCCCAACCAACTTTGGCTTAATAAAAAAACATGGCCTCTCCCTACAAATCTTTTCTCTTGTGCGTTGTGGCTGTACAGATAATAGCAGTTGTTTATAGCCTCACAAATTAACGTGACTGTAACGGCTAACTCTGACTTCTAAAGAGAAAGTAGGAATTGAAGTCATGGGAAGCATCAATTTTAACATGCTGCCTCCATGCATGTAAAGAAAGCTCTGAAGGTCAGAGAAGCGCCATGGCAAACCTCCTAGATGGAAATGTGAAATCCTGACACCACGGAAGTCGGTGCCTGAGCAATTGCCCCTCCAAGAGCGCTACCCTCTGAGTCACGTCTTCATTTCAGAAGCTGTCCCTACTTTATCCAGCAGTTCCCACAAGGATCACAGCAGCTGAAGCTGGTGGGCAGGACTGTACCTGAGGTCAGTGCATTGCTCCTCAGCCAGAAAGCAGCAATAAGCCCACGTCTCTGTCCCAGGAAGGGCAGAGTTAATTATACCACACTAAATGTTCAGGTTTAGAGAGCCCTTCATTTTACATTTCATTCCCCGACTCTCCCACCTCCCCCCCCCCCCCTTTTCTTTTTTTTGTAATCACTTCAGTTTTTGAAGACAAAAGGAAGGCACCATGTGAAAACATCGCTATGGAAACATCATGGGCTCACTTGTACTTGCCTGCCAAGTGACTACCTAACTGAGGTTTTACACCCTATTGGATCATTGTTGGCCATCTGCTCTCCCTCAAACTTCTCTGAATTCCACATTTCCCTGAAAAATTCATTTTTAGAAAGGAAGGAGGAGGAGGAGGCAAAGGGAGAATCCAGCATTCTTGGCTAGCGCAGAGCTATTGTGAAAAAGGAAGATAAACTCACTGGGGCAGCCCCTTAAAAAGACAAAGATCCATGCTTTGCAAAATGATTTCACAGAAAATAACCAATTTCTAGATGCACTTTAATGATAAGAGAATATATTGGCAGCCACAAGGCAAAACAAACAAAAACCTGCTTCTAGGACTCTCGCACTAATTGTCTTCCTCTCCCCTTCACTTGTTTAGTGTCAACTGTATTTTCTCCTAAAATGTAGCAGTTACAGCCTACACCGGAGCTGTTGGCTGCAGGCTCCCAAGCCCGGCTCCAAATAAAACACAGAAACAGATTTCTTGCCAAGCGCTGGGGAAGTTTCAAGGCTTTAGTTTTTAAAAGTATAATCTTTTTATCAGTGCCCTGAGCCTGCCAAAGGTAATTAGGGGCCATGGCGCATTTACATTAATGCATAGGACCTACAGGCATTTCAAAAGCTTAATGGAGGAACACCATAAATGTGCATATCGAAAAATAAATTAATTAAACTGTCATGTAAAGATATCACTTAATTTTGCAGAGCGGAAGCTGCTCTTAATGGGAATGGAATGGATCAGTGAGCATTTCAAAACGCAAAGCTATAATTTAAATTCAGACTCTCCTCTAGTGTGCAAGTCACAAGACATATTTATTATAGCCTTGGATTGTCAATTGTAATTGGTTTAGCAGAGACAAAGCTGTGTTGTTTTGCTTCCTTGCCCTCCTAGCTGGTTCAATATATTCTGATGTCAGGATTATTGACAAGCAAACGAAAGGCTGAAATAAAAATCATGTTTACCTGTGATGAACTGGCAAAAATACAGTCCAAGGTAAATGTAACGCTGAAGCCTATGTATTTATTTATCAAGCAGCAAGGGGAAAACGGTGGTGTGAAGCATTTAAGCTTCTTTAAATAAACCAACTGAATGTATTTACTGCTGCTCTCAAGGCCTGCTAGTAACCTAGACACAAATAGATAAAAATAAGTAAAGGCACGGTGAAAATGAATAGCATCATTTGTAAGCTGCTGCTCTGAGTTTTCCAGGTAGCAGTAACAATTAAAGTTGTTTTTCCTGATGCTTTTTCAGGCCTAGAGCCAAAGCCTGAGATCTGCCTCCCGCTTTCTTCCAGCCCCTGTCTTGAGCTTAGCCATGATGTTTCTCTGTACCTGAACCTAGAGCCTTCTGCCCAGGGTCTCTGTAATTTCTCGGTAAGAGCTCAACTTGGTGAATTCAACTCTAAATGACCCTGGCAAACTCAAACCTCATGGTGAGGAAGAGCTGCAGCACATCTGGCAGCGACAACTGTCCCAGGCATGCTTCTGAAGGCAGTGGTGAATGAAGGCTCCTGCTGCCAGAGCTGCTGCTGCTGCTGTGGTGGGAGCCTGGCTGTTTGCAGGGAGGAAGGACAGCACTGCTGGGTAGGTGGGGAGAGGAGGAGACTTGCTCAAGTGTGAGTTGTCCAGATGTCATGCTATGCCATGGCTCAGATGAGCAGCTCATCTTCAAATATAAGTTAATTTCTTTTAAAAGAATACCTGTGTGTCTGCATGGGTTCTTCCTCACCTAAGTAACAGGATTTTAAGAACGGGTTACATTTTTGCTTTCAGTGTAATCTTTTAGCAGTACGTTCCCGAAGCTAATTATTAAACTTCAGGAAAAAACAACAAAAAACCTAAACCCCACGCACATCCAAATGTGCCTCTTAATACTAGACTAGGTGTTTTCGCTCACACATTGGACTAAATATCAAAAAGAAACATCTTTTATAACCTTTCTGTAGTACCATAGTTTTTAGCTTGCTATGTTATTCCTCTTTCATGCCCTTTTACTAAGATGCACATTTTTACCCTGGATCACTCTTAAGAGAAATTTTTCTTTTGTGACCGTCTTCAGTTTCTTTTGCCTTTGAACGGGACTTGGATGTTTTTAAGTGACAGATTACTACTGACTTGTTCCATGTCTGAGGGTTGCAGAATTGGATGCTTACTTACATGGCTCCTACTGCCACACTATCTAAATGCTAACATTTTTCTTTTACAGAAGGCACTGTGCAAGGAAAGTGTTCTTAACCCACCTGCAGAAGAATAAATGCTGGGAGATTTAGGTCCTGGTCCAAAACAATATGTAGGCTCCAACTCTTACTGCCACTGATGTCATTAACAAGCCAGAAGTCTAACATCTTCACTTGATTTGCACTTCACTGATTTCTTCAAGGTATAAGAAAATTATGGTCCAGTTGATGACTGAATGTATGTATCTGTATAGATAAATAGCTGTCTTGTATCATCAGCCAAATACCCTAACGTGGTTTGACCACTTCATTCCAATAAAGCCATCACAGTCATTAAATAGTCTTTTCCTCAACAGCTTTTCCAGATTAGCTGTTCGGTTCATGAGCTCTGGTAGCTCCAAAGCTGATGAAATCTACAAATCGCCCACAACAAGTCAGAACTTCTTTTGCTTATGGAAAGGAAAAGACTCAAAGAGCACTGTAAGTAACAGTCAGGAGAATAGGATAGGTCACAAACATCAGGTAAACGGCTTAAGTTAAAGAAATAAACCGTCTAAACTCTGAAAATAGCTAGTATGGTAAAAATGCTTCTTTCCCATGTGACCTTGTAAACAATAAATAAATACACAAAATACAAATTCTAAGCTATTAGGAGTGATGGTAACAAATTATTGATTTTAATGCTCTTTTTGAAAGTATTTATTTAAATATTTAAAAGGTTTCATTGTATTCAGTTTTTACAGTCATAAAATTTGAGCCACTCTTTTTCACATTTAAAAAAAGTTAGGGCATTTCTCAAATGTCTGAAATCAGCCAAAAAAACTACTAACAGTTTGTTGCTTAAGAGAAGTATCCACTAAGAGGTATACAATCAAGATTGAACTGAACTTGTATTCTTAATTCATTAGTGGAACTGTAAGGCCCTCTTCTGGATTATAAATTACTGCATGGCCAAGCAAAGTACATGGAAATGACAGAGTCAACCAGTGCTATGAAAAAATACATCTGGCTGTAAACATGTGATCTTAAACCATAAATTTTCCTCTGTTTAGAAACAGCCGCTTATTCATCTGTCTGGTCACAATAAAAGAAATCACATACATAGAATTGCAGGAACAGGTAGTAAATACCCTATTAGTAAAAACTCTGTACAGAACATTATACATAATATAATTGGACATTTTAAAAGAGAAGGACACTGAAGAAACCTTCACATATAATTTTTTGGTAAGTTTCTGTCTCCCATCAGTGTAGGGCTAATTACGATTGTTCTTCTTCCGTACTTTGGATTTTGGTGCTGCCAAGAAGAAATAGAAAGGGGGGAAAAACATCAGAAGTGAATTATAGTAATACCAGTGCCAGCATTCTTTTGAATTAAGTTGGGATCAGAACAGGTCCATTAATGTGAAACCTACCATTGGGATTTTCTTGCCTGTAGAAAGCTTTTAACAATTCCACTGCTTCTTTGGCACGATAGCCAGAAATGCACTGTTCAAATTAGAATGATGTTCATGAGCACATCTGAGAATAACACATTCCATGCTTCACAGTAATGCCTTAAGTACAGAATAATTGTAAACAACTGTACTGTCTATTTAGGGGTCAGAAAATCTCTTTTTCAGGTTGAACACCTAATACCTATGAAAAACACTATGTTTAACACTATGTTAAATTATTTGCCTAATAACTTAAAGTTAAGCAAAGCAAACTTTCTTAGTAACTTACATAAAAATTTTATGCAATCTTAAACTTCTTTCTTATTAAGATGGTATTTCCAGCATACTTCATATACTCTTCAAGCACTTGGAAATGTAAGACATACATGTAGGTATTATAGGTAAGATTCAGAAAACATTGGTCCACACACACATCCTTTATTCCTAACAGTCACCTCTCAGACGTTTTTAGTCCTTCCAAGATATTTTTCCAACCATGAATATTAATGACAAAGCATTTAAATGTCACTAACACTAAATGAATCTCCACCCACACTAGAAAACAATTACACCTATATATCCCACTGCAGCTGCCTACAGAAACAAAGGAAGGATTTGTAATAGCAAGAATCTTCTGATTTCTTTCTTCTGAACATATAAATACCCTAAATACCACATGCCAGTGTTAGCACATGAACACTCTTCCAGTACTGACTGTACAAATTAATTCAGATGCTGGTCTCACAACCATCCTGAAAGATGCTTAATATGTTTACACTGGACTGCCAAACTGTATTGTCTTCCTGACTAAAATTCCTTCTGAGCCTTCACACTTCAGTACTTTTTTAGAATGCTGAAATATATTACTTGTTTTTCACATCCATTAAATCAGAAAGCTTAAGTGTGGAAAAGAACCCTAATAACCCTAATCAGTGTCCTTGTACAAGGCAGGATCATCTACTGTGGTGTATAATGTAATCAATGTAATGCTATAAATACTCTATATGTATAGGTATACTAGTATAATGCTGTCATGCATGTAGATTTATGTACGCTATACTTCCACTAAATGCTTGTCCAGCCTTTCTTGAATTACAAAGACGCCTCATTCTCCCCAAACACTCTGTTGCAGCCCTTCAGTATCCTTACTGTTCAGGAAATTCCCAACACCTAAACTAAATCACTTCTGCTACTTCTCCAGTCTGTACTTATTTGGGGATTTGCATTATATTAAGTTTAAGCTAATGTGTATTACCTCATACATAGATAGACTGGGAGCAAAGATACAATCATTTTCAGTGGTTCAGCTAAAACCCAGTAACCTAGTAAGGTGCTGTTACTGCTGTTGCTGCAGTTTAATTTTTCCCTCACCTCTTCCTGCCGCATACAATCACTGTTTTAAGTATTACACATCTTTTAGATATACTTATTCCTTACCTTTTTCCACAAGTATAATTCTTCCTTTTCCTCTTTGATGCATCCTTTCAAATATTTTAAGACTGTCGTCAGGCAGTCTTTTCTTTAAGGACTTAATTTTGTTTATGCTATTTTCTTGTTAAGTCAAGTTTACTTGACTTTGATCCGAGTCCTCTTAAACTGCTGCATAACATTCTCAAAGCATGGTGACAAAGCTAGGCACAATACACTAGCAGAAAAGCAAAAAAATTTTACAGCTTACTTCAAATGGTTCTCCTGAGTCCACCATATCATCAGACGAGATGCTCAAAACTGAGCCACAGCCTCCAAATCGCTCATTTCGACAGCCATATATGACCCGTGGAATTTATGTGAATGAGTTAAGGTATTAAGTTAAAGTGAAAAGCAAGCAGGAAGTACAGTAGCCTCATTTTAGTCATTAAATTCCACTAACATGTGCTTGTACTTTTCAAACTAAATTAGTTTGCACTACAATTCCTCCCTCATAAAATCAGAGGCTACATCTGAATAATGTAAGATGTATTGCTGAAGATGTACATCCAGCTTTTCTCAGAAAGGAGAAGCATGAATCCCACAGCAGAAGCATAAGAAGATGTGATTTACTGAGTGTTAAAGCTGAATACTGAATGAGGTTAACTTGTTTTACGTAGTAACAGGTATCTCTAAAGTTGATTTTTACATCCCTAAGAGAAACCGTTGTTTGTCATAATTGCACCATTCCTCTTTCATCCTTGAGTCTCTCACTATTTGCCATGCAGTAAATGGAGATGGGTACAGACTCACAGGCAGTAAGATGGTATCCCTGTTGGCTTTTCCTTACAGTGTCAAGCCCTTCTCTGTGGGCACATGACCAAAACAGTGACATTTTGACACACAGTTTGCCAGCATGAATAAACATGAAAGGATACTCATCAAGCGCAGGGCAGCTGCACACATGATACAAGGCTCTACTGTTACGTACATTACCGAGTTGGCAAACACTTCTGTATAATCTCTGTTTTGTTGCTTGCACCAGTCCAGGACCTGATCAATTGCCACCAATTCGGCATGTCGAGTAGCCTAGGATATAAAAATAAACATTTTCTTAAGGCGTGCATTGGTTGAGAGCTTTAAGCTTCTCGCTTATAGAGAGATACAAGTGACATAAAATGCAGTGTCATAAAATTATTCTTTCAAGTCAAAGGCACAATGGACCAACACCTAATCTATTAATGATGCAATTATTTTCACTTAAGTGAAAATAATGTAATGCTTTCTTGAGAAGTCTCTTCTTAGTACACCTCTTTGCTGGCTCAAGTTACTGAAGAAATTTCATCTGCAGAAGAAATATTCAGCCCAAGAAAGAACATATTAAACCTCAATCTCATATGCAACACACACAAGATGAACAAGTGCAAACCAGTTTTTATTTCTACTTGTTCCTACGCAGAGGAGTCTGCTCAGAAGTTCTCCTCTCTCTGTCATGCCAGCATAGCAAGACAAGACATGAAAGCTCTATTTGACACATAAAGCCTGTTAGAACAACTGATCCAACCCACTGTGCTTCCAAAAGCAAGAACACAGGCTTGATACATTCTCTGGAAAGATTGAGAAACTGCCCCTAGCTGGTACCTTTTCTTGCCTCTGACAGTGCTGCTGTGCCTGCAGGGAATGAACACACTGTGAATATGCAAGAATTTCAGTATGTTTCTGGAACTGCTTGGCCTACTGTGTAGACACAGCATTTTCAGTTTGCACCAGTTAATCCTGCCTGGGAACACATACATGTGCAATAGGTCCATCAAGTAACAGGCAGGGATTGCAGCATATGCCTGATTGCAAAAAGACATAAGAATATTGATTTATCTTTTTTTTAATCCAAGACAACTGAATTGTAAGTATCTCAGAGGTCACAGCAATAGGCATGGCACAAAAATCTGAACAGAATCATAGAATTATAGAATGGTTTGGTTTGGAAGGGACATTAAAGCTCATCTAGTTCCAACCCACCTGCCACAAGTCCAGTAGACCAGGTTGCTCAAAGCCCCATCCAACCTGGCCTTTAACGCTTCCAGGTATGGGACATGCACAGCTTCTCTGGGCAACCTGTTCCAGTGTCTCACCACCCTCATAGTAAAGAATTTCTTCCTTGTATCTAATGTATATCTAATATCCTTATATCTAATGTAGATTTACCCTCTTTCAGTTTAAAGCCACTGCCCCTTGTCCCATCACTACATGCCCTTGTAAAAAGTCCCTCTCCAGCTTTGATGTACCCCTCGTTTAGGTACTGGAAGGAGAAAGAAAGAGAGGGAGCAGGAAGTGTTGACTTTAATTGCAGAGAGACAAAAACAACCAGTAATGTCTCCGTATTGCTCTGAAATGTTTGCGGCAGCATGTTTTACCTATCAAATGTCATAGCAAAAGTACCACAAAGTGCTAAGGACTCTCCAGTTACAAAGCCTGATGGTTATGTGAATTCAGGTTGTTAGTATTTTCCTTCTTTTTAATCTGTTCTGGGAAAAAAAAAAAAGTTTTTGACACAGGCATTAGACTAAGAATCAATACAAATTGTGCTTGTACCTCTGCTACATGTCTTTATGTGACCTTAGGTAACTTCATCTCAATACCTGACCTTGGGTTAATGTTTCAGCACTTTGAAAATCTGGGGTGATAACTGTGAGATGCTCCACAATATATGGCAAAGGACTCATGTAAGTGACTTTGTGGTAAGTTTAATACTGTTTATAATGTTTCTAAAGTCCTACAGAGAGCTATGTTGCCTATGCCTATATTAGCAGATAGTGTAGTACAAGGGGAGCGTATCTGTAAACCAAAACAGTGCTGAGGACTCAACATCAAATCAGGGGTGCTCACACTGCCTAGCTCCACTGTAGTCTCATGGACAGTATATTCCCAGCAGAAGCTGGAGTGCATTAGGTATGCTTCCTGAGTGCATCTTTTCAGTATAGGTTCATCTGAAAGGAAGACAGCTTGCCAACTCTGAGGCATGAAAAAAAGGCATGCTAAGCAGACACAATCAAGAAATTTATTCCATGAGTGCACTTGTGATCTGAATTAATAGAGTAATGAACCCACTCAGAATAACAACATGGATCTGAATCAGTATGCAGGCATGATTCCTCCAGACCTACCAGTGCAATCTTGCCATGAAGGTTGCCTAGTTGAATAAATGAGATCACACCAGCTGAAGTCACAGTGCATGCTCCAGCAGAAAGATGCCTCAGAATCACTACAGCTACAGTAACTCAAAAGTGTATGTTGTGGCTAGTCTATTTTTGTGCCCCTCAGATCAGAAGAGACATGAATACCGTACTGGCTTTTTGACTCCTGAGCATGGATTGAAAGCATATATATGATAAGCCTTCATTACCAGAGTAAAACATGTCTCTAACCTATGGCACTGCTTTTAGCTAGTACACTGAGCAGCTTTTAGGCCTCCGCTGATCCTAGGAGTACAAGTTGAGAAAAGCCAGGCAGCTGCTCTAAGTCATACCGGCTTCTGTGGCAATAGAAGACAGCTACACAAAAGAGACTACGCTAATACAGAGTATTACTAGATCCCAGTGCATCCACATCTTAAGTACTACATACTGATTTGGTCATCTCACCTCATGAAGACATGGGAACACCAAGACAAACTCACCACAGCATGAGAAAGGGTTATCCAAGTTACAGAACAGTCTCTGTACAAACACTAACTAGACTACACCTCTTAACTCACCAGATAGAGTTATTAGTTTTCCAAGTTAAGATGACTACAGTAGAGGGTTAGAAAAATCAAGAAAGATGTGGAAAAGCAAACAGTAAATTGTGATTTATAATTTCTCATAACAAGTGGGCACCCAATGAAATTATCAGGCAGCAGATTTAAAACAAACAAAAGGAAGTACTCTTTCACAAAGCACATAATTAAATTGTGGAACTCATTGCCACAGGATGCTATGGAAGCCAAAACCATAAATGAGTTCAGAAAAGGTTTAGACAAATTCATGGAGGATATGTGCACAGACAGCTATCAGAAGCAAACATCCAGATACACTCTTGGGTTCTGGAAGTCTCTAACCTATTCACTTTCACAAGTGGAAAGGATACGCAAGGGGAAGATACCTTCTGCTCTCATTTCTTGAGGTCCTTCCTTAAGCATCTGCTAAAGGTCCCTCTTAAAGACAAGATATGGGGGAAAACCTGACCTCCTAGGTCTGTCTTAAGATTTTACTTTGTGTAGAACTATCACTAGATAGTATTTTTATTGACATGCTGTGTGTAAAATAACATACAAAAAAAAAGGTGATTTTCATTTTGAGTCACTGGCTCAATTCATAAGCTTCTATAAACCCCTGGGTTTTTTTTAGTTCGCCAATCTTACACACCATTTTAAAGCCAAGAAAACACAAACAGGTAAGAGTAGCAAGGGAAAAGAGAATTACGAGAGAGTGGCAAATGGTGGTCCAAAGAAAAATCATCTGAAGCTGATGTCAGTGGGGAAAAAGCCTTAATAAAGACTTGAAATAGCGCCCCAAACTGTGGCAAATGTTCTGGAGAAAAATAAAGGTGTTATCACTGCCCTGAACAGTTTACCTTCTAACTCTTAGACCAGATTTAACATGTGAGAGTAACAGGGGCCAAAGCTCAAAGTTCTGTATTATCTTGTGGCTTCATTGGCAATATAAGAATGCAAACAATACTTCATTTTTTATTATCATGTTCTGTACTTGCAAGATGATCTGGACAAAGACATGTGCTATAATGACCCAACATGAGATAACAAAGGAGAAGTCCGCATGTATCAACAAAGGACCTAGGACAGATAGCATTTTAGTGGGAAGTGAACGACTGTATCACACATGGGAATAAAGATACCCAGGAAAACGGTTTTAGTTGGGAAGGGTCACGTGTTATAAGGAAGAAAATGATCAGGTTGGTCCAAGGAAAGGCTATGAACAAGTGAATGTGTGAGCTGCCAGTTCTGGCACAAGCTTGTGAATGTACTGCCAGGCCTTTGAAAACCAATGTCCTACAAAGATATTCGTTGCACTGTTGCCCAATAAATACAAGTAATGGCATGCCTATTTTGAATTGCTGATGACACAGCCATGCTCCTCAAAAAAAAAATAAAAATACACCAAACACAGCTGTGTACAAACTCCCTCCTTCCAACAGCAACGTTTTTCTGTAAGAACGTGATGATGATCAATAATTTTGCAAATAAATTGCAGAGTAAGAGGCAGTATCTCTGGCACTAATGTGTTCTACTATGGACATGTAGGACAGAAACCAAGTATGCAGGGTGACCAGAGACAGACTTAAAAAAAGCAACTAAATTTTTTTGCCAAAAAAAGCAGTTTAGGAATAGAATGAAAGAGCACATAAAAAGACACTACCTGCTGTTAACTCCAGTCAGTTAGAAGATGCAGGGACTTAAGGAGAAGGAGGAATGTACCTGACACAAAGCCTTACTGGCAAGGTGATTCCCAAGAGCAGGACTGGAGGGAAGGACAGCAGATCTAAATGGATATATGATCATTTTTTAAAAGTGGGGGAAAAGTTTTCAAGGAGTGAGAAAAGCCAGTATATCATAAAGCTAAATTTTTGAGGTCAGAAGGCAAAGGCTAAAGGAACCAAACATCAGCCTTGCAAAACAAATTACATATAAAGTAAAAATAACCTGAGATGTAACTTGAAAAAAAGGAGTTAGAACTACTACAGTGACCTTGAGATGAGGCTCAAATACAAGTACTACTCCAAAGCAAAATTAATATTTTGCCTTTTCAATAAAAATGACATGGAGATTGTGCTCAAAAGACAAAATAAGAGCATGAAAGCACAAATTATAGCATATGAGATACAGAACTAGGACTTTACGAAACTGTATAGGCCACAGAAGAGGGATGAAGTGCAAAACCCCAAATTTATAGATCACCTCCATCAGAAAAATACTGAAGAACTCCTGCATGAGGAGTCTCACAGCAATGCTTTTAATATATCAAGGGAGAGTGTCACATGACTGAAACCTGGCAGAGCATATAGAGTCACCACAATGAGAACAGGAAGGACATACAACCCTGACATCTACAGATCCAGGATAGTCTCAACAATGAAACAGGCAACATGACAAATTTTGGAGGTAGTATTATAAGGTCTAGTCTATAAAAGGAAAATTAATGTGGATTTGCATAAAACAGTTGATACTAAATTAACCTCGTAACTTTCCTTGGTGTTTCTCTTGCCTAGAAAAAACATTTGTCAGTCTCACCTCTCTGGACTTTTACAACACATCTGGCACAGCCAACACACGAAATTAGTGTCAGTCTGGGGAAAACAGCATAGCATGAGACATGCAGGGTGGGAAAGCAAAGAAGATAAGAAAGGGGAAATACTTGTCCAGAGGGAACTAACTAGCAAAGATGCTCAAAGATCACTTTGTTCAAATGTTTTCAGTTGTGACATTGGCATTAACTGGAGAAACACCTACAGAAAACAACCAATAATGTCACATCTTTCATATAATGAAAGATATCATCACAAGAGACAGGGTCAGACTGCCATTCAAGAGGTAGATGGCCTCATACATGGGATAAAATTAAAATAAACTAAAATAAAAAAAAATAAAAACAACAAATGAAGAATAACAAGACAGCATAAAAGACTAAGGAAGCTCCAGAAAAGATGTGTGGCCTTACTTCCAGGAAGAATGGAAAGCATTATCAAACAAGGCACAAGAGAAAGTCCATCTGGAATAAAGTATACAGTTCTGGTTAAGTGAATTCAAGAAACATGCATCAAAGCTGGAATGGATGTATACAATAATTATTAGCAGGAGCACAGAAGGAAAACCTTTCTTCTGAGAGGAGATTAAACAGACAGCTTGGGGAAAATAGGGAAAAACAAAAGCCAAAAGGGAATATGTGCTCAAAATCTAAATACATCCAAGCTATGTAAAATAAAGGATGATGCTGATCTAAGGAGACATAAATGGACAAATAACGAGTTCAAAACTGGGAACCAAGATGTTTTCTAGCCATCTGAGAAACGATGCTCAGGAGAAGTCCTGCAATATGAGGTGGGCTTTATGATCTTCCCAACTTCGCCCTCTGCCCCGTCACCGGGATGACACTGCCCGCCCCCCCACCCCCCACCCCGCCCGTGCTGGCCCAGTACCGGGGTGCAGACCACAAGGCGGGGAAGCCGCAAAGCCGCGCTGCCCCCGGCGTACGACTGGGGTGCCGGGAACACCTCTCGCCCCAACTCACGTTCTTGGTCTCGTTGACCTCGTTCCTGCCCCTCCCCACGACCTCGCCGTGGTGCACCACGAGGCACCCGACGGGAACCTCCCCCTTCTCCAGCGCCTCTTTAGCCTGCGGGACACACACACACACAGAGGAGCAAGCAACAGCGTTACCGTACCAAGCTCTAACGAGCAAGCCCCTGTCCTCCCGCCCCCTACCCGCTGCCGGGAGGGAAGGTAGGCCCGGCCCGCCCGCCCCGGGGCTCCCGTCAGGCCTCTCCCGACACTTCCCCCCGCACCCCTCACGGCCGCACTAACCACATCGAGGGCCTGGTCCATCCAGGCCAAAATCACCGCCTCGTCCTCCGCAGCCGCCATGCCGGCACCGACGGGTCGCGGGCGGTGTTTCCGGGGGGCCGGGCGGCGAGGCACCTCGGGCGGGGCCGCTGCCCCCGCCCCTTCCGCCGACGTGAGAAGGCGAGGGCCGGCCGGGCCGGGCACGAAGGATGCTCAGGTCCCTCTGGAGTTTCCTCAAGCGGCACAAGAAGAAATGTCTCGTCCTCGGCACCTTCCTTGGCGGTGAGTGCTCGGCAGCTGAGCCGAGGGGCTGCGGGGGCCATAGCAGGGGCCGGAGCGGAACCGGCCTTGGTGCCGCGGGGCCTCTCCGCTGTGGCTGAGCTGCTCCCGGTTCCCGCCGGGGAGGCCCCCTCGGAGGCGGCCGTCGGCCGTCGAGCCCTTCTGTTAGGAAGCCGGTCTGCCCCCAGACGGGCCCGGTGCCGGCCGTGGGCGTGACCGATCCGGCGGTGCAGCGGGTCCGACCGGCCTCGTCTCCGCGTGGCCGGCGCCGCGGGGTGTTGCGCAGGGAGCTCCGCCGCGGGGTGGAGCGGCCCTCGCCTCGCTGGTGACACCGAGCTGCCCACCGACCGGCTCTGGGGAAGCCCAGGGGTGGGAGGGGTTTTCTCACGGGCAGGGGAGAAAATCGACACGTCGAGCCTTAAGCCCTAAACCGCAGGGATTCGAGCCTCCTGCGTGTTCCTGCGGCGGGGGTTTGTGTTGGGTTGAAGCAGTGTTTGACTGCACAAAGCGTGGGTGCCGCTTGTGTTATTATTTCTAGGGTGGAGGCTAAAAGCCTGTACTTCAAGAAAGTTATTTGTGCATTGAGGTCAATTGTCAGGTGTAAACCAACTGCAGACACTAAACTTTACTGGAGAGGATTTACATTAATTATTCACGTTGTACTTTCTTCCTTACGACTCTTGTCTAATCTGTAGGGTGGTTGTAGTCTGGTAAGCTTCTCCTTTCCCTGGAGTTATTTTAGGGTTATTTTTAGTTGGAATTAGATTTAAAGGAACATCTCCGATCTGTCTCTGTGTTTAATAATAAGAGCATATTATGCAGCTGGAGATTAGATACTCCCCAGAAGGTACAGCCGTGTCATTGCAAGCTCAATCATCAGGTGTACTTACATCTTATGCAAATGACACAGAATTAAACATTAGAGTTGCTAAGGAAAGTTTGCATTTGTTTATACCTACTGCAGCTTGCCTGCATAGTTAAATATTCCAAGAGCTACAAAGGTTTTGCAGTATATTTTGTATCTTATTCAGGTGAGGCCTCTTGTGATGGTGAATTGTGTATATTTCTGACTTGCCTTGGTGGCTGTGTCCTCTGCATCCTTTCAGCATTAATTCCTTCTGCATTTTTCCAAAGAGGGCCAGTTAATGGACAATGACATGTTAGGTGATGATTGCTGAAACACTTGTCAGTCTGCTTCTCCAATTCATCCCCCCTCACCTGCAGGTTTTCTGAGACTGCAAGTACATCAGAATTTAATGATTACCTGTTTTTAAGCCACCATGCTTACAGCCCACTATGTTAAGTCAACAGATTTACTTTAATACACCAAGCTGTGACCTGCAAGCTGTTCCCCCATCAACTACGAGAGTAGTGGGAGGACAAATGGGAGTAGCGGAAGCATTAGTTGTCCCAGTTTCACCTAGTAAACATGTATCAATATCCAGGTGGGAAGGCAGATTTAGGGGAGCTTGTCGCTCTTGGTAGTCCTACACTCAAATCCTAAATTCATCATGTATAAACAGCCTGCTGCCAGGCTGATACAACTGAATTTGCAGCTTTTACCTTATAATTGGAGCTATTTATGTATAGTTCAGTGTCACTTTCACTAAAATGCTACTGAGTGGATGAAGTACACTTAAAAGTAATCACAAAATAAGTCATTCAAAATATGACCAATCCAAAGAAGAACCCCAAGATGCTCCTCATCTAACAAGCATTTCAGCTTCTGGCTGAAAATACTGAACTGTACTGCTGCTGCCTGCAGCATGGATCAAGTATGTGTTTCATTGAGCCATGTGGTATTTAAGGACTCTGTAGATAATTGCTTTTTTGTAGTTGAAAGTCTGTAGTAAATCAGGGTATCCACGAGCAGAGGAACACCATTATCTGCCTCCAGCTGTGACTTGCACCATGGTATTTTAAGGCACCCTGGGAGATGGAGGGGTTTGTTGCAGAGCATTGCATTACAGTTATTCAGCAGCTGAATCGTGACTGCTTTGGCCATCTACATATAAGTTATGGCTTGCACCTTAAAATAACTCCAGGAGCTATTGTAATGCCACCACCAATAAATCAGAACTCCTCCAAAAATGCTGCCTAACACTGAAAGGTAGAATGCAACTGCACATTGCTGCTTTCATATGAAGGTAGAATAATTGGAAGTGACTGAATGATTTAAGAAAAGCATCCAGATCTGCTGGTTTAATACCAGAGACTGGAACCTACATCTCTCTGGTGTTTGGTGGTTTGTTGTTTGGTTGGTTGGTTGTTTTTTGGTTTTGTTGTTTGTTTTTTTTTTTTAATAGCTGTAGCTGCATTTTCTGGGAAGGAGGATGTAACAAGGAAAATGGGACATCAGAGTTTAATGATTTTAAGTCTTTAACTGGCACATGGTCAGAGATTAATGTGAATATTTAATGATGCATTGCTACAGAGGAGTCTCTACATTATTACTGGTACAGTGTTGTGCCACTGAAGAATTGTACCAAACTGAGTTGGTTGGTAGTCTTTCCTCTGTTTACTAAGATGGATTCCTTGTGCATTAGCAGTGGCTCTCAGTGTAATTTCTGTTAATCCCAGCACTGCAAGAGATTTTTCTGTTTATGCGTATACAAACCTCATAAAATAAGAGCTCAGATTGAGGGAAAATCAACTGAAATAGGTATAATTGTCCCTTAACCAAGGAGTGGGGTTGAGAAGAGTTCAACTTAGCAGAGACCCTGACAAACCCTTTCTTCAGAAGTCTGTTCTTTTAGCAATATAAAGTAAATCACATACTTTAAAGACTTAAATCTCTTCAAGCAAACAAAATCTAGTGCTCTGGGATCAAACCCACTAGACGTATGTGAAGCAGAGAGGGTGAGCTTGCATGACAAATGTTCTGTTCACTTGTTCTTGTTGGGTAGGTAGGTTTCTGTGTGGAGTAGTGGTTTCTGTTGGGTAGTGGTTTTTGTCTCAGTGTTCAAGGTGGATTTCAGTGGACATTACAAAATTATTCACTATTGAAATTCTCTTGCTGCAGTAGAAGAGCAAGTTCAGGGTGTGCCTGCAATGTATGCCTCTCATATCAGAGGTGCATTAATGATTGCTCAGTGTTATATCTTGCAACCTTCGGCTTGCAGAAAGAATGTTTCAGTTCAGAAGTCTGGCTACTTAGCAGAAAAAGTTGTCTTGGTTTGTGAGCAAGTGCAGGGATGTTACATAGGTTTTGGTGGGACTCGGTGGTGCCAAGAGATTAAGGCTGCAATGCCTTCTTAATGGGACAGTTGTATGCCACTTGATGCACACCTTGCTTGTGCATAAGGACAAGACACAACTTAGAGAGTTGTTGATGTTCTGTAAGGATGCAGGCTTCTCTGTGTCAGTGCAATTTCAACATAATAAAGTTCTTAAAGCTGTTTTTTTTCCCCTTAATTTTGTGAGGGAAGTATGACAGTGAGGCTGAAGGTTACATGGGGTTGTAAAGAGTTTTCCTGGAAACTTGATGCCTCCTAGTTACTTTTCCCACCCTTCTGCTCATCTCTCCATTCCACCTGTGAAGAAAGACAAGGGTTGAGGAAAGCTTAAGCCATAAATTATGTGAGAAATACCGTACCTGTTTGAGGCCACTGGCATGAATGTGTAAGAGCTTGCAAGTTTTCTAAGCTACTTCCGTTGCTTACATTTAGATAATAGAATCATAGAAGGGTTTGGGTTGGTAGGAACCTCAAAGATGCCCTTGTAAGAAGTCCATCTATGGTTTCTTATAAGCCCCTTTAGGTATGGGAAGGCTGGTATAAGGCCTCCCCTGAGCCTTTTCTTCTCCAGGCTGAACAAGCCCAACTCCCTCAGCCTGTCTCCAGAGAAGTGCTCCAACCCTCGGAGCATCTTTGTGGCCTCCTCTGGACACATTCCAGCATGTACATGTCCTTCTTATGATGGGAAGAGACTATACAATGCTACAGGCAGAGTGCTACTGAGACAAATTAGAACATACTTAACTCAGTTCACTGTTAATAGGTGAGTCAGTGTGTCTTCCACAGAATATAGGTGTTGTAGACCCCAGGAGATCCTGGTGGTATAGGACAGTGCTGTGGCTTAAACCCAGCCAGTGCTGAAGCACAAGACAGTTGCTCACTTGCACTCCCCCCAGTGGGATGGGGGAGAGAATTGGGAGGGTAAAAGTGAGAAAACTCAGGGGTTGAGATAAAAACAGTTTAATAATTAAAAAATAAAATAAATCAGAAAAGGCCTTGATGAAAATATCCTTGTGTTATTCACAGAGTTTCCAGCACAGATCCACAACATAGCCCTGTACTAGCTACTATTTAGCCAAAACCAGCACAGCCAGCCAGTGTGAATGTAAATACTTCCACTCTGTAAATCAGTTTTAAAACAGTATGAATTGTAGTTTGAGATCCTTACTGAGGTTCCTCTACCTGAGGCATCAGGCAGATGACATCAAGTGATATAATCCTAGTTTGTACCACTCATCTGTTTCTAAACCCTCTGAATCTGAAGTGCTGGTGCTATAGTCGTTTGCATAGTTCACATTTTGATGAAGGCAAAAAAAATGTTTACATAGAAATTATCTTTGGGACAGTTTCATTATTGCTGAATTTTCTTAATTCCTGGTTTTGTATGGAACATTTGCAAGGTACTGTATGAAGTTCCATCTAAACAATAGTTTACTTAAGTAGCTATGAATAAAATGCTGATGCTGCCACATTTTGCAGACCTTCTATTCTATACTGAGAGGTAAAATAGGGTTATATTAGCTGTTCTAAAAAGATGGTGTCTACTTTTCTTGTTTGTAACAACAGAGTCTTTCAAAGTGTCATGTTAGGTTCTTATGGGTACATTATCTGACTTGACATTATGGCAATTCTTGAGATGTGATTTTTCTCTGGTCCTGCTTCCAACTCCAAATGATGGTGTTTTCATGTGATACATTCAGCCTGGACTCATTGAAGTGTCTCTGTTATATTCAGGTCTTGTGAATAAATGCCACATTGATACACATGGTTGCTCTAAAGTAAAATGTGAACACACATGCAGATCAACTCCTGAGCTGGCAGCTCCTTGAAAAACCCATAAGACAGACTTGAAGAGTCTGCTGCTGCATTCAGGCAGGAGTGATAAGTGGGCAGAAGTTCATTATCCCAAGTGAGACCTGAATTTCCCAAGTGAGGTGCTGTATCCTCCAGGCAGCTCAGAGGAACACGCAACCCATTCAGCACCAGAGATCTGCTCCTGACATCCAGTCACTGGTTTTGCTGAAGCTGTGTGGATGATGTAACTTTGACCTTGGTTAACTTCTAATGTATTGCATTCCCAAAGATGAGGATGATAACTGGAATAGATAACATCTATTAGTGATGGTCCAAAGTTATGGCTTGTTTCAGGGGAGGGAGAAATAATACTACTGGTGGCTGGTATTGCAACATTTTAGACAGGTGATTTTTCTGGATGACTATTACTTTGGACCCTCACAAGACACAGCAGGTTTTAGTACAGAGTAATTGCACAACACTGAGAATCAAGTATTAAGCAATTAGTTGTCTCAGTCTTAAAGCTGCTGCTCCAGCATATCACTCAAGGGCATGCACATGATTCTTCTTGGATTGTTTGCATGTCTGCCTATGTCCTGTGTATATTCATGACCTTTCTGCCACAAAACCTGGAGTTAAAGGATTTATTTACTGAGGGGTGGGAGGAGAGGTGTGGTTTGGAGGAGGAATAAGCAAAAATAGTAATTTGGAGAAATGACTATTTGTAAATGTAATGTGAAAAATGTGGTGGGATAAAACGATTGGAAAAATCTTGTGTTCAAAATGATTTGCTAATACTAAAAATTGTTGTTGGGGGAAAAAAAAATCAGCAACCTGGCAGTTGTTTTCTAAATAGATTTTTTTGGCAGGAATTGATATTTTTTTAGGTAAAAGTGATCTAATTGTTACCTATTAAGTCTCATTCTGGTTAATAATTTAGTAGTTGAATTTCATTTTTTGTATATGGAGCCCTGATAATAAAGTTTGCATCTAACGAGGTGAGTCTTCCACATGGCAAATGGTCAGCCTGAAGGCATTTACAAGACTTTTGGGAAATAAATATAAGTGCCTGTGGTTGTTCCAAACTGGTCTGGCTTGCAGTTGCCTATTAGGAAACATAGTGGTGGTGTGAATAGTTGGAGGTTGGTTCTTTTTTTTTTGCAATAAATATTGCACAAAATTGACAAGCCTTTTGAAATCCTGATGATAGTTTTGGAGAATGTACTGAAAGGTTGTAATGACCTAACAATGTAACTGAGTTAAAAATATTGGGGAGTTTGGTTTGGGGTGTTGTTATTGTTTTGGTGATTTGGGCTTTTAAAATCAGTTTTAAAACTGCTAGCATTCAGCAACTCTTCAATGCCTCACTCGGATATTAACTTTTCAAAAATTGAGCTTTGAAGAAAACTTTGTGCCTCTGTATTTACAACTTTTGAAAGTGTTTGGTGGAAAAAAATACTTATTTTGATACCCAGATTTCTTCGGTGCCCCATTATTGACAGCATCAGAGCTTTCGCTCTGTGCAGGAGTTTCAGTCCTTAGGAGATTGCTCCCCAGTAGACAGAAGATGGTCAATTTGCACAATAGTATTTTCTGCTTGGGTTTGTTCCTTCCTTGTAACTCCTCACCGACCCTCAACCACTGGAATTCTTTCATGAGAGAACAAGGAGGGAGCTTGTTTTGCACCTAAATAGGTAACTGCTGCTACCAGTGTCTACAGGAGGCAGCAAATGAAGTTGATATGCAGGAGGTGTTATAAGAAGCCCCAGGTGGATGAGGAGAAATTAATGTAAAGCTGCTGGCAGTGGGCAAAAGTACTGAGGGTAGGTCTAGAATATATAGTGGTATCTAGAGCAATGGCTAAGAAAGCAGGACAGAGATGAGGAAAGGGCTGTGGGCAGCCTGGAGAATTCTCTGAACCTGTGGTGGTGCGGGAAGAGCAGTTGGAAACTTGAAAGGGAGGCATGTTGGGAGAGGAGGAAATACAGAGCGGAATTTTTTTCATGGGTCTTTCTGAAAATGCAGATTCATAGTAAGGGTGGTGAGGGAGTAAGGGTAGGATAGTGGAGTTGGAGAGTAGGCACCAGGCATCGTAAGAAATAAGAGGGACACTGAAACCAAGGTTCTTCTACAGAAGATTCAAGGCCAAATGAAGAAAATGTTGGTCTCTAGCATTTTTATTTTGTGATTTTTAAGACTTGAGTTTTATCTCAACTTCTGCTCATTTTAGAAAGATCTCTAAAAAGAAAAATTAAAATTTTCATCCCTCTCCAGATCTCTAGCCATTACAGTTTATTTCTCTGTTCTTTGTTATCCTACATTTTTTTCTCTTCCCAATATTTGCTTCAGTACTTGTTCATGTTGCAGTAGTACAAAGAATGCCTTCTTTGAAAGGCATGATATTTCTTCTCAGAAAAGTTTCTTATACTGATTCAAGTCATTACCAGTGGCAGTTAATTTTGAAAACATTCTTTCTTGAGTATTACTGTGTTAATTGGTACTAAAATACTCGAGACCCACATATCCCCAGAAAACGCTATGCACCCTTATTGTTTGAAATTAAACAAAGGGGCTGAAGGGGCCCACTTTACAGTTTTAAAGCAGTTTATGATATGAAAATCTCTCTGCAGGCGTCTATTTACTGGGAAAATATGGGCAGAAGAAAATCAGAGAAATCCAGGAGCGGGAGGCAGCTGAATACATCGCCCAAGCACGAAGGCAGTACCATTTTGAAAGTAATCAGAGGACGTGCAATATGACAGGTAAGATAAGGAAATACCTGCTGTTCTTGATTTGGGGATTTATAGTACGTAATGACAGGATGGAAGAAGAATAAGAAATGTAGGTGAATTCAAAATCTTAAATACTAGTGCTGTCCTGGGTTCAGCAGTAGGACTCATTTTTCTCCTTAGTAGCTGGTGCAGTGCTGTGGTTTTGACTTTCAGCCTGGGAACAGTGCTGATAACACAGATGGTTTTAGTTGCTGGTCAGAATGTTTACTCTGTCCAAGGACTTTCTGAGTCTCATGCTCTGCCAGGGAGGAGGGGAAGTCGGGAGGAAGCAGAGATGGGACACCTGACCCAAACTAGCCAAAGATGTATTCCATACCAGGCACATCATGCCCAGTATATAAACTGGGGGCATTTAACTCAGAAGGTACACTGCTCATGTTGGGCTGTGTATCGGTCAGCAGGTGGTGAGTGGTTGTATTCTCTCCCTTGTTATTTCCCTTATCATTATTATTATTAGTGGTAGCAGCAGTGGTTTGTGTTATACCTTAGTTACTGGACTGTTCTTATCTCAACCCATGGGAGTTACATTCTTTCAGTTCTCCTCCCCATCTTTCCTGGAGCTGGGGGAGGAAGGCAGGGGGGAATGATTGAGCAGCTGTGTGGTTCTGAGTTACCAGCTGGGCTTAAACCAGGACAAGTGCATAGATAGAGCAGTTTTGCATAATGCAAACAACCTGAAGAACAGAGGATTGACAGGATTTGTAGGGGTCATATAGAACCCTAGGAGTCCTCTATAATGCATGCAGCTACACATGCAGGTTACAACTTTTCGTCAGTTCAGGACCTTTGCGTATTTCCCTAAACTGTGTGTGCTATTGAGGTGTGACACAGCACCTAGATTCAAACAATACTGAATTTACAGCAGGTTTATTTTATTCATTACAGCATGTTGTTAGTAAGCTTCACACAGAGAGCTTGGTGGGTATGTTTTGATTTACAAATAAGAAGCATGTCAGCCCATTAGTTCCCTGTATTTTAACAGTTAAAAGTTACCTGACTAGCTGGGGAGCAAAAAGTGGAAGTATTTATATTACAACAATACGTATGTTACAATATGACAGTATTTACATTACCTATTAGTGGTCTTTGGATTTTTTGGAGAGGAGATGGTGGAGCAGAGTTCAACAAAATCCTTGTCATTTTTTTAAATATAGGCCACTCAAAATTATTTCCATAATACAATCCGGGCAGCATTTTCTTTTCCTGTTGAAATTTGTAATGGCTTCTTGGGTGGCTGCAAATGCTTTCTGTGCAGTGATTGGTATTTCAGGTTAATCTTTTCCATTTGATAGTTCTGGGTTTAATTTTACTGCAAGGGCTAGGTTTTTGTTTGCTCTTTTTTGTACAAAGTACCTTCCATCTGGGAGCATGCGTTCTTGTCAAGATTTTTCATACTTTGCTCATAGTATTTATTATGTTCTGTGCATGGTTATTTTTCATTTCCTGTTCCCATCATTTAACAGCAGATTGGACATTGAATATTCTGAAAATAAGGATTTTTTTCCTACCAGCTTTCTTCTGTTTAATACATACCTTTCTGTGCTTCTCTTGTTGGAAAAAACCCAAACCTCAGATCTTCTCATTTGGAAAAATGCGACAGTGTAGATTTTCACCAGATTTTCTTGAGGGGTGTTGAAGGCTTGTATATGCAGGATGTAAGCCCATATCTGAGCTAGAGCCAACAGAGACATATAGCAGCGTAAGGGCAGCATTGTGCCCCAGCTTATCAGAGGCAGACAGGAGGCTGCACTTCAGAGGATTCCCAGGGTTTCATATTCTGCTTGTCCTCCAAGCTTTGCCTGTTGAGCAATGGTATTTACATTAGAGCATCTGTTGAATGAGAGCTGGGCATAGGTTTATGATGATTATTTTGATGTTGACAGTTTTGTTTTGTTTTTAATAACAGTGCTGTCAATGCTTCCAACACTGAGGGATGCCTTAATGCATCAATTAAATTCTGAGAATCTCACATCTCTTCTTAAAAATAGGTAAGACTGTTTTGTTAATTGTGTTAAAGATCACTTGTTTTGAGCACAAGATATTTTTGGGTTTTCTCAAATTATTTATAATGTAGGGAGCTTGCAAGATTTTGGTTCTGTGTCCCATTGACTCACTGGTCTTGAAGTATTTTGAAATCACTGCATAAATATTTTGTGTCATGTTGGATCTATTTTGATAGATATGGCTGGCATCTTCCAGACATGACAGGAAATAATGCTTGCTTTAAGATGCTGCATTGAGAGCCATGGGTTTTGTTGAAGTGCTTATAACATAGGCAGGTAAAAGGATGTAGTTCTCTCTTAAACAGGCCAGAGTATCTTGACTAAGGTGTTGATGTTGTGTTTGTAAAAAATGTTTATGTAATCTCATCAAGGTTAGACATGAGTAGTAATGGAAAATATCCAGGATGAAATTGCAAATGCATATAAGCTATGAGAAGTAATGTATTTTTTTCCCTTTTTTTGAAGTAGAACAAATAGGGACATGTCAGACATTAAGCAGAGTGCTCCCTGGTCAGAAAACACCTCTGGTTTCCTTGTGGCTGCGGAAACAAATAGCATATTTTTAAAATCGTGAAGTGCATCATAGTATACCTTAAAAGTAGAGTAAGCCACTTGGCATTTGTCACAGAGTAAAAGTGTTGTGTGGGCAGTTAACACAGGGTTTCTGACTCAGTCTAGACTGCCTCTGGTTTGCTTCCCACTAGCTTGCTTACATAGCTGTAACTTCAGCTGTCCAGCATTTAATAGATTATCTATATAGGCATTGTCTTGTTTCAGCAAAAACACAAGGCAACAGAACGTGCTGCTTAAAGTGGGAATTACAGCCAGAATGATGCTTTTATAATAGATTATCTGAAAATTTGTAACTGTAATTGAATAGTATTTACTCCAAACAACAAGACCTTTTAGAGCCCTTGCTGTTGAATACACAAAATAGTAGATGTGGAGATTTACCTTTCTCAATGTCCCTGAAGATTCCTCTTTCTCAAATTATCTATGTTATGCCTCACCATGTTATGGATCTATGTTACAGATCGTGTTATGGCTTAGGTAAGCTAACTTAAAGTTTGTTCGCTCCCTTACATTTTAAAACTTGTGGAGACAGTGCTCATGGGAGAATGCATAATTAGTACGTAAACTCTGAATAAACCTGAAAGATACAGCAAGGCCATGAGAGGCCCGAAGAAGCTTAGGCAAGCAAGATAAGAAGAAGCTGGAATTCACTGAGTTAATGAGAACTGTGGACTGTTGGCAAGCTTTCAAGGTCAAGTTCTCACACCTGTGCTTAACCAATTATAAGTTAAGTCACTAAGGGTCTTCAAGACATGTATCCAATCATAATATGCCAAATAACTGTAAGTGCATGTAAGAAATAGTATATAAGGAGTTAAGGCTTTGTAATAAATTTGGCAATCGCTTGATCACATTGATCGTCTCTGCGTTGTCCGTGACTCCCGCGTCAACAAGTGGTGCCCGAACAGGGACCCTCCGATCGGTAACTCAACGAAGACGAGTTTGAAGGTCCGACGAAAAGGAGGGGGCGGAGAGCCAGCCGAAATTCAGCACTGCCCCGGCGCTGGGAAGTCAGATGTCTGCAAAACTTCGGGAATCTCGCCCTGATCAGGTGAGCGGCCAGGGAGGAGATAGGGCACTTGCTATCCAAAGAGGAACAGGCGGTGGTGAAGCTCCTCCAACACATTCTCTCTAAAGAGAGGACTGCAATATGATAGTGCTGCCTTACAGAGGCTGTTGAAGTGGTCCCGTGATCGCGAGGTTAGTAAAGGGACCAAAGATGCACAGAAACACTGTACACTTTGGAGACTGGTGTTTGAGACTTTGACAGAGATGAAATTGGAAAGGGCGGCAGCAGCTTCTGTATTTGCTGCCACAGCTCCAGAAGGGGCTGTCTCCCCTAACCCCCATCATAGTGCTGCGGCTATGACTTTTGCACCTCCTGTGGTACCTGGAACGGCACCGAAAAAATCAACGCCCCGATCCGATGAAAGCAAGAGCCAGGTCCGCAGATGGGCACATACCGAACAAGAGACACCTGACAAGAAGGACATAGCTGCGAACAACGGAGACCCTGAGTTCGACCCAGGATCAGACTCCAAGTCCCCTGAATCCGAGCCAGATTTATATCCTCTGCTTCCAGACTCTGACTCTTTGTCTCCCGGGTCGGTCTGCTTGGCTCATCAGCAACTACTCACTGGCCTTGGAGACGCTTAGCTGCAACAGTTGATTGAGACATCTCCATCGGCGCCTCCACCTTGTCCTCCACAGAACCCCTTCCTTAAAGAAGGCAATCAGGGGAGGGGGTGGGAGAGGTATCAGGGGGCACAAATCCTGTGCATTGTTGGCATGGGTTAATCAAAGATGCAGTTATTACAGGTGAATTTTCTGCAGTGGGCCTCTCTGCATATCCTGTGTTTACTACACAGCAGGGGGTAAAGAGTGGGAAGCTTTTGATCTCAAAATAGTTAAGGAGGCCTGACAAGCGGTGACCACATATACAGCTTGAGTATAAGAGGATTTTAACCCATATGTTATGATTTTTTTTGCGATTGACAGGAGACTTTAATGATCCCCTTGCTATAATACATGGTCAGGCATTAGGTTCAGGTTATATGACTAAAACTCCGGGTATTCTGGTCCAGTACAAGGATTTGGAAACCGGCATTTGGAAAGGTCCTGCAGAAGTAAAACTGACTGGTCGAGGTTATATGTGTGTAAATTACAGATTCCGGTTTGTGGTGGGTGCCAGCTCGATGGGTGAAGAGTCAGCACTGCTCCAGGACACCCCCCTTGTCAGTGATTGAATGAATTGAAATTTGAGCTTAGGACACCTGTTTTATGGATGTTTTCAGTCCTTCTTAAAGTGAAGGGAGCAACCTTTCTTACGTTAAAATAAACAAACAAAAAACAAAAAAAACCAAAACCCAAAAAAAAGACCCCCCCACCCCCACGCCCCCCTCCCCCAAACCTTCAGGGAAGCGAGATCAGCGTGGGATACAGACGTATTGTGTGATTTTTTTTTTTTTTTTTTTCTGGTGGTGGGAAGGTCTCTCTTATGCTCTTATCAGGGCTATTGGGCATACTGTGACAGATCGTGGACTTGGGACCCCCTATACAACTCATTTGATGCAGTCTCTCTGTGATACTCGTGTACTAGAAGTTGGTAAATATAAGTATGTCCACGTTTCTGTCGACCTTTGGAGACCTTTATAGATATTGCTGGCCACTTCTTCCAACATAGGCTGGCCACCTGTGTCGGAATGAGTGTGCATTTTGGTCAGTATAAAAGCCCAAGCCTCATGCGCTGTGGGGGAGGCAGAACCTCTGCGGGAACGCCCGCTAAGGATGAGCCTGCCACCTCCCACTGCAATGATGCTTCTCGGAGCTGGTTTCCTGTTAGTCTCCACAGGGTCCTTGTGCCACGTTCTGTACGTGGGACTGTAGCGGGAGTAATGGTTGTCTGGATTTTTGTGCTTCAAATATTGTAGTTGTGTGGAGGGTGCTTGTGGGATCCCATACGTGTGTGTGTGTGTGTTGAGGGCAGACGGTGTTCTGTGTATTTTTTGTTGTTGGGTTCATGTAAAAGTTTTTAACCGGTAGCAGTTTAACATTTCGGGCAAGAAAGGGTTAATGCAAAAGTGCGGTTGCCGGCAGGTATTTATGGCTGCTGCTGAAGCAGGCAGGCAGCTGTAGCTGCTGCGGAGCAGGCAGGCTTTTATAGCTGCTGCTGAGCAGGCCGGCGTTTGTAGCTGTGCAAAGCAGGGTGAGGGACTTTTGGGGAAAAAAAAAAAAAGAACAAAACAAACAAAAAAAAAACAAACAACAAACCAAAACCCAACCTCTCAATCTATTGAGGTATTGAGGCAGTTTGTAGAGACACCACAGACAAAGCCTAAAGAGCACCTGCAACACAGTGGGTGCATGGTAGGAGCCTTGCTTAGTATGTTTAAGGTAACCTGGGGGTGAATCCAAGGCTTGGAGGAATAGATAGATCGGTTGAAATAAGAACTGCTAACTGAAAAAGCGAAGAGGGGTAGTGCAACCACAAGCTTTATGGGCTGTCACCTAAGCAGCATCACGGTGGCAGGAAAAAGAAAAAGAAAAGAGGCAATGATGCAGCAAACTCCCGGACAGTTAACAACGTGCAGTTTAACCTGTCTGCTTCTCAAGAACTGATAACCTGGAGGAGGGGCTATATTTGTGTCCTCCTGCCTACAGGTTAAACTAATGCCAAAGTGCACAAGTTGTGCCTTTAAAGAAATTATTCCTCGTGAAAAGGATATTATTTTTTTATAAACTAGGTTACTATAAAGTGTGGGTTAATCTGAACTACCTGCCCTAAATATTTAAGTGTTAATTCTGATCCTAAGACATTACCAAATGTTTCTCTAAGTGACTTTTGCAATGTTTCTTCCATGGCAAATGTAGAGTAGCTTTTCTTTTCTGACAGTGCTTAACAGGCAAGAATGTCTGATGAAGCCTTTTGCATGGTTAGTCTTATCTCTGCTAGTGCAGCTATGTTGCTAACTTTACCTCCGGATTGTAGTTCTAAATCTGCAGTGTACCTTAGGCAGTTCAGGTGTATCTGTGCAATCTACAGTCTTACTCTTTTGACTGCAGAATGTATAAAATTTTCGGAATTGGTCAGGTAAAAGAAGTAAACCTGCCTCAACACAAGAAGATCAACTTGTGCTTGTGTGGATGGCACAAGACTTCCACAGATGATCATGATCACTTTGGTTTGATGATCAAATCTGAACTTTAAAACTACATCAGGCAATGGTAAATCTTGCAAGAAGGTAGGAAATAGAAATTCTGACCCTGCACTTGTGCACAGGTAGATATAGGAAGCCCTGCTGAACCGAGGTCTAAACGTACAGGGGGATGAAAGCCTCAGAAAGGACCGGTGTGTACCATCAGTGGGCTTTTTCTGACCACTTAGCATAGTTTAACTCAAAATTGGTAATGTAAGTGTATAAATGTCATGACTAAATGCTACATTTATTGATTAAAATTTGTATCTCTTTCCTGTGACTTCATATTGTATGATTTATATGCTGCTTTCTTGAATGAGGCAAATCAGTGTAGACATGAATCTGATCTGAATAATTACGGTAGCTAAATGAGTTCGCCTTAAAGCACTGCTATTTCATTTAACATACTTATTTATTTCCCAGGAAAATATACTTTTAAATGTTTAATATTCCTATTTATTTTTCCTACAGGCCAGCAAACAAGTTAGAAATATGGGAGGATTTAAAGATAATAAGTAAGTGGAAATGAAAGATTCCATCTTCATAATATTTAGCATAAATCTAAAATGTCTTTCACACCCTTTAAAAAGTAGACTTTACACTGGGTTGTTGTTTCAATAGATATGAAGATAGTGTAACACACTACCTGGCAAACCTTCCCCCTCCAAAAAAAACCCACCTCCTCATGCAGGAATTTTCCATAGCCCTGAGGGGACTTGGAAGCCCAGAGATGAAGGTGAAGAGTTTTATTGGCCTTCATGTTACCTTAATCAAGGAAACTTTGTGAGGTATTTCTGTGCCATCACAGAAAAATCAACCTGGCTTTTAAGAAAGTTCTGTTGAACCTAACAGAAAGCATTGATCAGAATGTTGGCCAGCCTTTACATGGCCAGCAGTTTCCTCTTTTCCGGCCTGTTGAAGAGAACCACCATCACAGTGGTTATGGACACCTTAGTTCATCTCGGAAAGGAAGAAGAAATAGCAGTGGAAGGGAATGAAAAATAGGGAGGTCAAATAATTTTGCAGTGAAATACTACTGAGCTTTTTTTACTAGTTTTGATTCCTCGGTACCATTTGTTATCCCTGCCACCTCCCTGGTTTTGTCTGCTCTTTGTTTTGTTTCCCCTTTTCACACCACTTTTACAGATCCTGCTTTTAACCTGTCTCCTTTCTTTCTGTGCTCTTCAGCACTCATCCATATTTATTCACGTCACTTTTGCCACACATCCTCTCTTGCCTAGTGCCTGGTAGCTGATGCTCATTTTAATTTTCTTGCTATAGGTACTAGCTGCTCCTGCTTTAGGTAGCTTTCTTCCCAAGCTCCTGTTATTCCTTCTGTGTCTCAGTTCCATGATGAGGGCTAACATATGGCATGTATTTCCTGGCCTAACAAAGAAAGATGATTTCACAGCATACCCATTTTCCTTCTGGAACAACTTGTAATATGAAAAATGATGTTAATATAGAACTTTAAATGGGACACTTTAGATGTAGCTCCAGCAAGTATTAGACTCATGGTCATCTTGGGTGTGTGTTGTAAAAAGATGTGTTGTGACAATCAGTGAGTGAAATGTGACTGTACTTAAAAATCACCAGCACTACTTGAGACTTGGAGAGTGTTCTCCCTCCTTGGCTTACCCTTCATTCTTTGACTGAAGTTATTTTGTTGGCTCTTTTCCAGGTTTCACAAGAAGCATTGTAGCTGTATATAGTACCTGTATGCTCGTAGTTCTTTTGAGAGTCCAGTTAAATATTATTGGTGGTTACATCTACCTAGATAATGCTGCACTCTGCAAAAATGGCACAGTAAGTTTCTTGTTTTGTTTCAAAAGTAGAACATCCGCTTTCTTGGAAGGGAAAGATTAAAAAGGGCATAGCACAGGAGTATTAGAATGAAACCAAGAGTTCTTGTAAGAGTGGGAGATATGGAAGTATTACTGAAAGTAAGCTACTTGATGTATTTTAATAGCCTCTAGATTTGGATGATTTGGTGACACTATTGCTTAACAAAATGCTAGCAATATTGAAGAGTACTTTTGTCTGCATTTGTATTGCTTAAAAAAAGAAGGTCAATTCATACCTAAACACCAATATAAAATAACTTCTTTGCTTTATTTTTGTGTGAAACAGTAATAGTGTGTGAATGATCCATGCGCATGTATATAAGTACATATGCATGGATCACTCATGCTAATGTATCCAAGTGCTTAGGTCTTCCTAGCACATACATTCCCCAAGTCAGATTTTCCTGTAGAAGAAAAAGGTTGTCTTTGAAATTTTGGTATTTTTTTTGTAACTCCCAAAGGCCATCTATGTGAACGTCTGTTGGTGGGGCCAAGCAAGGCAGAAGACTTGCGTTTTGTTTATGTTCTGTAACTCTCACTGCTCAATAAAAATAAGTGAATCCCACAGTACGCAAATACCCCTTGTAGAGAGTAAGATCTTCAAATCATTGGACAGCCTGTCTAAAAATAATGGATACAAACTTCGATTAATTTGCATCTGTCCCCCTATGATAGCTCCTTCTGAGAGTCAAAGAACAGCATGGCAAGGCAGGCCTGAGAAAAGCTTTCATCAGGGTTGATGGGGGTTGTGCTTCACTTTGCAAAACCTGAAAAAGCTTTTTCAAAAGAGCAAGATGAGTTTGGACTAGAATCGTGTTTCAGTTATTTTTCCAATAGAGAAATGAGTTGATGTGGCCAAGCCTTGAGGCATTCCTCTGGAGCAAACTGGCATCATCCTGTCTCAGTTCTGGAAAACTTACATCAGAAAAGCCTTTGTTAGGGTTAGACATAAATATCCTGTTCCACTAGGCTTAATTTGGGGGGTTACGGAGGGTCTAGTTTTACCTGTAATGCAGTTTTTAAAGAGACTTTCCTATGTATGAACTAAAAGTGAAAGATTTTTCTGTGCCACTGAAAATGGAAGATCTGTATAGTACTGAAGAGATTGAAAACGACTTAAAGATTCATGGGTTGATGGCAGGAAGAGAGTCAGATGCTAGAGAGTTGCTTGAGAATGGGGGAATCCACCTGCTGCAAGGGACTGTAAAGAGGGAGGAAACTGGTCACAACCAGTTTGAAATTATTTTTGCATTGCTTTCTTCTGTTGACATGTCACAAACTTTTTTTTTTTTCCTCCACAGACACCACTGGCTCCCCCTGAAGTTCAGCAGCAATATTTATCAAGTATTCAGCACCTTTTAGGGGATGGTATGGTGCTTATTATAAGCTAGCTGCTACACTTAAAAAATTCCACCGCTTTTCTGGACTTGAGATCATTAGAATAATTTTGACACTTTCCTCCTTTTAGGACTGACTGAGTTGATAACTATTGTTAAGCAAGCTGTGCACAAAGTTTTTGGAAGGTAAGAGTTTGTATTTCTCTCTGGTTAGCTTATAAGTTTTATTGTGAATGACTGCTACCAAAACAATGAGTTTTATTAGAAAAAAAAAAAAAAAAGGAAAGTTTATTGACTGTTTCCAAAACAATGTTTTTATTACAGCAGGCTACATCTGCTGGGGCAAACCAATATAACAGACTGGGATCCTGTTAATTGTGAGCACATTATCAGGAGGAGGAAAAGCATCATTATTAATTTTGCAGTTAATGTCATCTTCTTCCTTTCCAGTATTTCCCTTAAGCACACCCTATCTCTTCTGGAGCTGGAACAGAAACTTAAAGATATCAGGAATGTAGTAGAACATAAAGATTCAGATCACACTGCACCTTACTCTCCCTTATGTCATTATCTGATGCCAGATGAAGAAACCCCCTTGGCTACACAGGTACCTGTTTCAGTTTCTTTCAGCTACCTTTTTTTCCATCTGCATTGCTCGTTTGTTCTGGGGAGGAAGGGTGCATAATGGCCCTCCAGTTGTACCACAGCACCTGTATCTTCAGTAACGGGCGATGCTTCTTCCTGCATAAGTTGTGACGTTATCTCTTTAATTGAGGCAAAGTTGTACTTTTTTTCAGATGTGATTGAAAACAAGCATCAACCTTGGAATGCCATCTTTGAGCTCAGAAACTCAGCCCCATTACTTCATTTAGCCTGGGATGTGCTCTGTAACACAGTGCAGCTTAACTGAGCCCTAAGCTAAATTGCTTTAGCTGGCACTCGTGTACTAGCAAAGATGAGGGACAGCTGTAGCATCTTGGCCACTGTACAGGGAGGTGATGGTGTGCTGGAATACTTTAGTGCTTTGGGCTGGAAAATGAGCAGGAGTCAAGAGAAAGTGTATCTAATCTCAGTGGTAAGGTTAAAGTGATTTGCTAAATTTTCTAAAGGTGTTTGTCTCTATCCACACCGTAAGTTGGAAAAACTCATTCTTAACATGGTATTATGCTAATATAAAGAAGAAACTTAGGCTTCAGTGTGTGAATACATGCACTTATCATAGAATCATAGAATAGTTAGAGCTGGAAAGGACCTCAGGATCATCTGGTTTCAACCCCCCTGCCATGGGCAGGGACATCTCACACTAAACCATGTCACCCAAGGCTCTGTCCAACCTGGCCTTGAACACTGCCAGGGATGGAGCATTCACAACTTCCCTGGGCAACCCATTCCAGTGCCTCACCATGCTTTAACTTTTTATACCTTTAACTGAAGCTGATATGCAGGGTTTATTTCAGTTTTGGAGGTCAGAAGTGGGGGAAAAAAATACTTTGCGTAATCAGTCTGGTATTTCCTGCTAATACTATTTTTAAGGTGAAAAACCCTGCAGTGACCACTTAAAATGAAAATCAGAACATAAATCACAAACCGATTCGTGACAGTAAATCTTTTCAGTAGATTTGACTTACGCATCTTAATTCCCCAATACAAAACTCTTCTGCTTCTACTCTTATTCTTACAGTTGCAAATGGATGTCTTACTAAACAGTGTCTTTGTTTTTTTAGGCCTGTGGACTCACAGAAAGAGACGTTGCTACAATTAAATTGCTTAATGAAACTAGAGATATGTTAGAAAGGTATAGAGCAATATCCTGTATTCATATTAAACTCCTCCTCACTATTGTTTATGTAAGATTACTTTCATACGAGAACCTGCCAAGTCTCACTTCTGAAATGTGACCACTTGGCTGCATTGTTTTTATATTCACTAATTGTAGGCTGGGATTTTCCAAATTTATTAGAAATAATCCTGCCTTAATGTGATGACCAGGATGTACTTCCCCCTTACCTCTTCCTTGCCTTTCCTGTAGTCATGCAGAAACAGAGCAGTACTTCTCTTCTGCTAAAGCAGTGTAAATTGAGGGTCATTTTATTGGATTTACTGCTTTGATAAAATTAAAACGGTTTGGGCTTAACAGAATTTGTTTAATGCATGGCTTTGAGTGAGTGTGTGCATCCTTTCACTGGAGTGCTGCTGAAGTGAGGCTTCTGTAAGAAACATGGAATAGGAGAGAATTGTGTCAAATGCCAAGCTTACAATTTAACTGCTAGAGGTCTGGGGCATATAAGGATGCGATTAAGTCCTTCTTATGCTGTTACTCAGTAAGAGGGAGAAATGCTTTAGATTTACCTAGGGTTTAACAGTCTTACGGCGGATCTTAGGGTGTTGATTGGTCTGCTGGGGAGCTGGTCTTTCTTGAGGTGGCTGTGCTGGTGGCCTTCTGTCAGGGTCATACATCTTTCCATGTGGGAGGGACAGGGACATCTGTAGCACTGAACACTTCCAGGGTTTTTAATTTAAAAAAAAAAATAAATCCCAGGAATCAGACATTTTATTTTTTTATTATTTTTTTTCCAGTCCAGACTTCAGTACAGTTTTGAGCACGTGTTTAAACAGAGGATTCAGTCGATTGCTGGACAATATGGCAGAGTTTTTTAGACCTACTGAACAGGACCTTTCTCAGAGCAGCTCTGTAAATAGGTAAATGTTTTCTTTTGTTGTGGTTCACTTGCTTTGAGTTCACAGTGAGTTCCAAAAAAGGCTCACAGTGATTTTTCCTTTCTACTTGAAGTTCCCATGTTAGAAACAATTCTGCTTCTATGCTCGTCAAGAATAAACGCAATCTCCTCACTTCGGTCAAGTCGACAGCTAGGGGTATTGTGTGTTTCTTCCTAGAATTTATGTAAGGTGTCTTTCCCACCATTACCTGCAGATCTTAAAGTAGGAATCAGAAGATCTCTACCTTTCCCTTTTCTCCTGAGCACTGTGCAGGCAAACTGCCTTTGTAGCTAAGGAGGATTTACCTCGCTGGTGGTGACTGCTCAAAGCTGTACTGCAGTACCTCTGCTCTGAGGCACTGAGGAGGGTGGTGTTCCCCTGCCTGGAGCAGAGAAGCTCTACGCCCCAGTCTCTGGCTGCTAGTTACTGCAGTTTTCAAGGACAGTGGCATTACCATGACTCTCCAAATACATGTAGCCTAACGCATCTATGGAGCTTTAGGTTATTCGCTGGTGTGCTGGAAGAAGGATGTTAACATTCAGGATATTGTGCCTCCTTCCTAGAAGACCGCTTAAAAAGAGCGTTTATTCTGAAGATAAGTTACAGTGCAGTAAGAGTGTCAAAAATCCAAAAGCAGAGTTCAAATCATTGAAATTTGGTTTCTAAAATGTTAAAACCTTGAATAATAATTGGTTTTATGTTTATTGTAATAACTGATGGCTCTGAGAGTAATGGTTTTATTTTAATATCTACTATTTACATCACTTAAAGTATCCCAGAGGCTTTAGTTCAGTTGTCTATCCTAAGCCTGGTTTAGAGTTTGAAACAGCATGAGACTGTAGACCAGCACATCTGTTTACATACATAAACATGTAAAGACTCTGGCTAACCCATTCTTCTGTTGCATGAGAAGCATGTGTAAAGCTATGTGTAACAAGACCACCAGCTGAAATTCACTCTGGTATTTCTCTGTATTAAATGAAAGGCTTAATAAGAGAAGGAAACCTTCATCGGTACGTTTTACTTTGCAGCTCTTCAACTGTTACTTTTGAAGTAGTAATTAGGATTATAATGATCCTATTTTAGTGGCTTTACTAACGTCAGATCTAGGTCAATATTTTTGTTCTTGTCTAGTCTTTCTAGTGTCAGTCTTCCTTTAGCCAAGATAATTCCAATCATCAATGGACAGATCCATTCAGTATGCAGTGAAACACCCAGTCACTTTGTTCAGGTAAGAACCTTGCTTATTTAAAATCTCAAGTAAAAGTCAGAACTGAACATTGTATATTTCTTTTTCACAGTGTGCTTCATACTGTTTCATTTCAGTGGCTGTAAAATAAAGTAGAAACAATTGGTGTAACCTTTTGTAAATTTTTATCTTCCAAAAATATGGTATTTTTCTAGAACCTCTTCCCTCTGCTAACCTGTGCAGAAGCACAAAAAGGTCTCTTGCTTCTACTTGCAGTTTTGCTCATAAAGCTTGCTTAAGGAAGAAATTTGAGTTAGGCCTATGTGGGAGTGCCAGGTGCTTTTCTCATAATGAATTATGTACTGCAGCAAAACCAGAATAGTGCTGGATGTGTTTGAGAACATTTATTCTTTAACTTTCTTCCAGGACCTGTTGATGATGGAACAAGTGAAAGATTTTGCTGCTAATGTTTATGAAGCTTTTAGTACCCCGCAGCAACTAGAGAAATGAACTGCACACTCATAGGGAGAGATTGTGTGTGTATATATAATAAATCCCTTGTGACTACTGATGAGACTCGGGTTAATTTTGTAACAGTGTAGGAGTGGCAGACCAGGAGAAAGAATGTACTGAAAAAAGTGGGAGTAAGCCCCTATTTGCTCTAATAGTGTCAGTTTCAAGCACCCTTTGAAAATACTCTTGTTGAAGGAATCATTATATGAAAAGACTTTTCTCTTTTTAAAGTGCTCAAACTCTTCCTTAATTAATTTGATTATTGCCTCTGAAGGGCATTGGGTGGCAGTGTTACCAGTCACGTTTTAACAACCCCATTTCGTTGTGTGAGGTGCCTACATTTTAGAGAAAACTAATGATAATGACCTACAAAGAGCAGAGTAGCAAAATGAAGTCAGGCTGCTTTCTTCTTCTCCCACATATTTATTTTCATAAAGGAAAACTGTTTTTTTGCATAACTTTACAAATGTTATTCCAGAGAGTCACTCTTCAGAAAGCCTTTGCCAACTGATGCACATTCTTCTTGAACAAGCTGGGAGGGGTGGTGGTGGCAAGGAGCAAACTTCTCTCGCTGTTAATATTAAAGGAATGGATTTCTAGAAGTCCTCTTGTTTATGCTGTTTAAACAGCTACACTATACACATTAACTTGTAAATATTTTATCTTAATTTGTATTATTAATTTTGAGCCTAATTGTCTGTATTGTAATAAAATATTTTAATGTAAAATTTGTGTGTGTATTCACATTACCACCAGGAAGGGCATTAGCCTCTGTTGGCCCTTCACTTAAAATCCTGTAAGAATGAGCATAAATTATACAGTAATCATTTTGCACTTATTAACATTACTCAGGAAAAATAAACCTTGAATATCTATACTGAAACAATTCATGCTTTTTGTTGTCCTATACCTACCCCTCTTTGCAAACTGCATACTGCAGGTCTGTCCCTGCAAATCCTGACCCATGATGAGCTTGGGAATTTTGTAGATGCAATCTACCCTCTGCTTAAAATGATGGCTCTGGACAATGCAACTCCTGCTTATTTCTCATTTATAAAAAAGCTTGTCATTGGAGTACATGTTTTGGCTTATTGTCCACAGGAGGCACCTTGGTAACTGGTTAAAAACAATGGCTGTAAACAGTCAGCTTTAACCATGTAATATTATATAAAACAGCCAAAACCCCTCCCACATTGCTTGTATCTCAGTAATAGATAGAATTTCTTCAGAGTAATGCAGATGCACTACCCTGTTCCACTGCAACTGCCACTGGTTGCACACAACTGGAAAAAGTTCATTCTTTTCTCTAAACCAGACAGTTTTTACTGTACAGTTTTGTGGAAGTTAAGATTTCTTGCACTGAAGAAGGTAGATGCCTGAGCAACTGACATTTGAATGCTGGCTTGAACTAGCTCTGCTTTTTCTCATGGCTTTAAAAATCCAGTGCCTTGTTTCCCTTATTTCCTTCCCCCTTTCCCATAACTTGGCAAGAAACTGACTAAGTGGAGAGGTCAAGGTCAATGCTCAGTTTTTCACACAAGTTCAAAGAAACAAATTGTAGGCAGAGCTTCAGACTAGTTCTAGATTTCAAGAGGTTCATTCCATCCTTTAACAACAGGCCACCTTTCATGAGAAGTGAAATCATTGGAGTGTTGCAGTCAATCAAGAGAAACCAGTGATGAGAAAGTGAGCAAAACAGTGTCATTCCCTGCTGCCCAAGACTCCAGCAGCATACAGCTCAGCTTATGGCAGTCAGCTGTAACGTCCAGCCCCACTGACATGGCAATTGCTTGGGAGTTAACTGAGGTAGAGCTACAATGATTCCTTTTTCTCCCAGCGCAATCCATTTCAGCAGTTCCTCGTAGCCAACCAGCTTCACCTGAGACAGAAATACACACTGTGATTAGAACAGTGCCTTCTCCATGCATGTGATTCTCAAATCATTGCAGAAATGGTGGTTGTCCTAGGTTCAGCAGTAGCAGTCATTTTTAGCTGGTGCAGTGATGGTCCATAGCTACCTTACTAGCCACTATCCTTAAGTGCCACTTACCAACCAGATGAATGATAATTATTAAAGGTAACTGAAAATTAGTTGCAAAGTAATTACAATCAATAAATTACTACAAGCAATAAAGGTAGAGCTGGTGGGTCTCAAGACGTACTCAGAGCTGTAAAGAAAGTACATAAACAATTTTCAGAAGTCTGGGATGGGATTTTGGTCTAAGCAGGGATCTAGGTGCCACAGTACACACCTTTGTATCACCTATTTCCCATAGTGGAACTTGTAGTCTTGAATGAGCACCAGTTCCTTATAGAGTGCAGCCAGGTATTGCAAACAAAGCAGACCTGGCGAACCCCCTCTACAGAAATCACACAAACAGGGTGAGATACACCAGCTGCTAACATGCTGAAAACAGTGGAGTAGCTGAAGACCAATCATCTATTGCTGAGGAACATCCTTACTCTCCTGTGCACATACACTCTTGATGCCTATTCAAGATTCATCTACAACACTTCTGAAATTACTGTCTTCCCTGGCACAGAGTTGTCTTGGCTTAATGTCATATGGAACTAGTCCAGAAACACCCATAATGCATTCATTTCAGCAGCTAGTGGACATCCAATGCATGAGAATAGCTAAGATGAAGATAATCCCTACCTTGGATGCACAGTGTTGATACTAAGCCCTGGGCACCATCTGTTTTGCTCTATAAATTTGCTTCCATTGGGTTACACTGCTGATAATGTAGGTTCGGCATCATGTTCCTCAACTTCTGACCACCGCTTGCTGTAAAACACACATCTAGGGTTGCACTGCTCTACTACTTAGCCTCCCTGGGCATTGAAAATCTTTGTGTGCTTTCCTTTTGTGCAAGGCTTTGACTTGCACAATTACAGCAATTACAGTCTCACCAAAATCAAGAGGATGACTATAAAGAAAGGTCATGCTGAGTTAGAGGCTACAGGAAACAGGAGGGGCAGCACAGCTGTTTTCCCCTAGTACTTGGCCTCCTTAGTTTGCAAGCTAAAACATACCCCACCAGCAATTCAGTTTAACTTTGTTGGAGAAGAAACATCCCACTGGGAGGACTATGACAAAGAGGTCCCAGAATGAAAACAAACATTTGCTGGGTCCCTTCCAATGTACACTGTCCTGAGCTGTGCATTCCCAAAGAGGCCAGAAACTAAAAGAAACATGATGGAACATGACAAATCCTAGAGGTGTTTTCCTTCAGAGCATGTTCATTTCTTGCAATATTAAAAGCCTTGCTGTTCTAAAGGGGAAGAGTGAGGTGTGTTGTCTTTTACCTGTGTTTCTCCAAGCTTGGCTCGTGGCTCACCAAGTACCAGAGTCCCAGAGACCGGCCAGTCAAGGAAGATGGCATTGACTTTCCCCTCTTTAGGGCTGAAAGTGTACCTGGTTGGAAATTGGGAATAGAAATGCATGTCAGTTTTGCCTTGTAAATTTTCTGAAGTGATGCATAGAGTGCTTTCAGGACTGGAAAAATGGATTTCAAGATTTAGTGTTAATTACATTTGCACACACACAACTGTCTTTTCAGGCAATTTATAGCTTTGATAAAGTACTGATCCTGGAAAACATGTTCCAACAAACTAGATGTAATAGAGACTATTAAATAACTGAGTTCAGAGGTAAACAGCTGTAGTAACTGAAGCACATATCTCACTGCTGCTCAGTCATAGAGGAGGGAGGTACTCCCTCTTTCTTTCCTTTAGTTAACAATGTTTTATTGCTCTTGGAGGCTAAAGCCAGATAGCCAGATCTTACTAGTAACTGCAGTAAAAAGACCCACTGAAGTGGAGAAGAGAGTCAAGACCAAAAACCCTGATGGATTGTTAAGGTATTACATGCAGCAGCTGTGAGGCACAAAGGCAGAGGAGAGTCCAGAGACTGGCTGAATATAGGGACCAAACAATTGCAGTTCTCTTCCCATGCATTTTTACCTTAAAAAGTAATGCAGGATATGCTAGACTGGTTTCTAGTTTCTTTCTCTCTAAAGAGTGACATCATGTTTGTGCAGATAAACACTTCACAGCAGTTTTATATTTCCAGTTTTTTATATAGTTTCTGTTGCCAGCTACTCTAAGAAGCATAAGATCACTAAAGGAAACATCTGCAACCTTCCCCTCAGCCTCAGCATCATCCCAAACCTACAGTCTCTGACACCCATTGCCCACCTACAGTTCTATACACACTTTTACGTGCAGTCAAACTGACAAAGGGGTTAATTTCTTCACACATACATACGGTGGTGATTTCTGTAGCACCAAGTCATCATTAAGAATTTCAAAGGGTCACATACACTGTTAATGGAAGAGCTGATGTTGATTCAGTCACCTTACCACACTCCTGGGGTGGATGTGTCATTCTGCGCTCTCCATGGTTTTGTTCCATAGATGGCTTCTCCATTGACTTTCAGCCAGGCACCCATCTGCCTCAGGCGCTCCTCAAATACAACGGCAATGCAACCATCATGAGTGGGCCCAATATTCATCAGGAGGTTACCTCCACAAGACACTGTTTCTACAAGTTGCTGAAATGTTTTTAAGCACATACACAGAGCATATGGTCATAGTTAATAAAATCATACATCTGAAGTACTTACCAAAGTCTGCCATACTGCTTCAGAATGATGAACTGAATGAGTTGTTACTGTTGCATGTTTAGACTTTAGGGATCATCCCAACAGCCAATATAAAATTTAAGCTCCTATGAAACAAAGCTCTGCTGGCAATTTTTATGGCAGAAAACAGACCAAAATACATTTCTGCACCAGTATGTCCATCTGAACCTACATTAGAATCAGAGCCTACAATTTTTTAACATTTCGACTTCTAGGGTTTTACCGATAGAAGGGATAGATGATTTCTCTACATGAGAGAAGAATAAAACTAATAGATGCCACTTCAGTTTTACTGAAGCTAAGAGGAGCAACTTCCTTTTTATTCCTCTGTTTGATGCTCTTCCTGTTTTACAGAGACATCTGTAAAACATGAGCAGGCCTTCTAAAGTCCATGAATATTTGTGTTCACA